ATCTGAGCATAGTCAGAAATGAAAAAAAAAATGTTCAATATTAGGCATTTGTAACATTCCTAAAATAAATAACATATTTGAGCATATTATCCTCTTTGCAAGTATACCAGGTAACATAATCATATGAAAGGTAAATAAATATAGCCACAAGTTACAAAATGTTACCCCATTGATATGGGGTATATAAACAGATAAAAATATCTAGAAAAAGAAAACTGTCTGGGGAGTTTGAACAAAAATAAAACAAAATAATAGCAGAAGAATTATTTGGAGATTTATTTTTAAAAGTAGCTAAAGGGATAAAGATAAAGGTGAAAGTGAAGAAAAATGATGGTGGAATAACAGGCTTGAAACACCATGGGCTAAATTATCACAACTTACCTGTATTCAGGTGAATTATTTTTCTCTAGGACTAAATTACAGAATAGGTGGATTCCTTTTAGGAGAGGGAAGGGTGAAGATGGAAAGAATTATATGATATACCTAAATCAAGTCAAAGGTAAATAGCAAAGGGAAAATAACTCCTATAATTTCTTTGGAAGAAGAAGAGCTATGGGAGAATGGGTGAAAGTAACAAAGGAAGAGATTGAAATAGGAGACAAAAAAGGGGAAATCCCAATTCAGTGGTGGGAGGGGATGTCACTGAAATGCACCCTCCTGGAGTGAGAAATTTTGTAATGGGAGATTTATACCTTTCATTAGGCATAATCTTCAGAGAGACCAACTATCCTTGGAGATCGTTGTACCCCCAAGGACTACCTTAGGAGAAGGAGATTAAGAGCCAATGTGGGGCAATAAGCATCCAGAAGGTGGGAGGGTGTGGACTCAGGAGGAGAATTCATGGCAAGGTCAGAGGAAAACCATGATGGGGTGAGGATAAAGGTTGTAAATGAACCTCATGATCAGGGACAATAGGAAATTTCTACCATGGGACAGTACTTCTATCCCCTCTTAACTCCTGCAGGATTGGTACCTCTAAGAGTGAAGAAAAATAGAATAAAAGCTGGAAAATGGCAAGAACTACAAGGAAATAACAGATTTTTTTTAAAGAGGGAACTTAATAGTTACTTAACAGAGGAAAAAGAAAAACAATTAGATAACTAGGTAAAGGAAAGAAAGAAAAAGGAATTGGTGGCAACTAAAACTCTGAAACTAGGGAAAAGAGTGACAAGTAGGAGCAGGGAAGTCTTGAGAATGTGGGAAAATGACTGTTAGAATAAGTTAAGTAGAGAAAGTAGATTAAGCCAAAAGAGTTGAAGAGACAAGTGAGGAAGAAGAGAAATGAAAAAAATACAGAAAAAAAGCAATATTACCAACAAATGTTACCAAACATGTCCATGTGTTCTTATCTGCTGTAGTTCTTCTTTTTTTGAGGCTTTGTGGTATAATAACTAGAGTGTGGGATTTGAAGATAGGAAGACCTAGATTTGAATACTACTTCAAACAGCTGTGTGACCCTTGGAAAGTCACTTAACATCTCTGAACCCTGATGTCCATATCTGGGAAATAAAGATAACACCTACTATACAGGGTTGTTGTGATAATCAAGGTAATATTAAGTGATATATGTCATCAATTATTGTTTTTATTTATACAATTATCCATAGAGAAGCTAACAAATGTTCTGAAAGCCTTCCTAAAGTTTTATTCTTTTGTGGAAAGTAATGTAGTAATTAGAATATCGTTATTCTTTACTCTAGCTGCATGACTATATTATTTATCTATCTTAAATTTTATAGCTTCAGTATCACACGTTTAGAACTGGGAAGAATTTTAGAAAGCTCCACTCATTTTGTATATGAGAAAACTGAGGCCTAAAGTGATTTATTTTCTCAAAGTAACACTTGTACTTGTAGTGCTGTTATTTTAATCCAGTGATTTTACCATTGCACAGTGCTGAATCTCAGTTTATGACTGCTCCAGCCTATGGAGATCTATTTAGATCCTGATTCTGGCATCAAATACATCAGCTATCCCTCTCAGTTTTATGTTTATACACTATTTTGAGCTGTATCCCCATGAGCTGTACAAATTCACCAACATAAGAGAAATAGCCTACATTTCTTTACTCAGATGGGGTTAGAATATCCAGAAATATAATCCAGTAGCTAAAGGGCAATGTAAACTATTTGAAAAATAAGACTGTAAAGAACTACCAAATCTCTGTGTAAATAACTTACATAAAATACTTTTTAAGCAAGATACAATTTAATAAAAAACCTACATATATTAAAATTGTCCTAGCTCTGGCCATAATAAGTTATTCTTTTTTTTTTCTTACTCCTCAATTTCTATTACTCTAATGCTAGTGTTTGTAGCTGGAACTCATTCAGGAATTTTATGGAGGCTTGCTCATTCTGTAGCTCACCTAGGTCCTAGTACTGTTGCCCTGCTTGACTTCTTGCTTTCTTGTTGAAAAGAAAACTAGATATGAGCCTAAGTAACTTTGGCATATAGTCATCAATATTTGCAATGAGCCTATATCCCTAACTTTCTAGGAGCTATTCTAATCTCATTGTGAGAACATTGCCATGTTTTATTTATTTTTTCCTCTTGGGTTCTTCAATTAAAAAAAAAAGCCCTTCTAAGATCATGCTAGTTATCCAAAACCTTCTATTTTTGGTGTGGTGAAATGTGTATACATGTGCGAGAAAATGTGGAATTAATCTTATTGCCTATTTAATTGTTTTTCTTTTGAGTCTCCATTGCGTTATCTCTTTTTATCTCTTCTTCTTAATCATGAACACTATCACAGAATGCCATGTCACTATATCTTCTGTTTTAGTGGGAGGAGGCACTTAAGTTTTCTATTACCTTTTTCATTATATTTATCATTTACACAGTACTTCAAGATGTACATAATGCTTTAAATATGTTAAATAATTTGATCCTCTTTTATTTTAAATATCATGGTGGCATTTTAAAACTTACAGAATGTAGTGAAACTAATAAAACATATGCAAGTTTCCTAACCAATATGTAATTGTGTTGTTCTGTTACAGAGTGATTATAGGTACATTGCCAGTTTTCTATTTAATAATACCATGACATGACAATATGGCATGTTTATTACAAATGCAGAATTAAACTTTTATGCTTGCATATTCTGAAGAAGTATATGAGAACTTAACTTTCTTAAGCCTATTTATTGTCAGTTGAAGGAAAGGCATATAAAGAGGTTTATGTAAAAATTATAAATTGAGTAAAGTTAACATTTTTAAAGAAATATTTGTTCTAAAGTGTTATTTTATAAATATAACTTCTTAATATCTTAATATTCTGCATAAAGAAGCTACCTGCATTTGTTTTCTTTTTGTAAAAATTATTTTAAAATTAATTTTAAACTTTTTTTTTTGTTTATAGACATGTCCTCCATAAAATTGCCACAACTGATATCACTTCTCACCCACAACTGATACCACTTCTCACTAAGTTATTAAGGAATTGTTACTCAGTCCAACTTTTCTGCCTTGTCTAAGTTCAGTCATGTTGCATCGCCTACTGCTCTGCCTCACTTCAAGGATCCTTTGCCAATTTACTTCCCTCTCCTTACCAAACACAGCTTATGATACTGTTTTTATGGCACCAACCCCCTGAAATTTTTTACAGAACTCTGAAATTGGTGGGAACTCCAATTTAGTCATTATATATTAATTAATACTTTTATTCCCTCTCTTCCTTTTATATTACTATGTTGATCTTAGGAGAAAAACTATTGACTTAGTAGATTAGCAAAGATTAAAAAACTAAATCTCCTTTTGACAAATTTTAACTTAAAGTATCATAAAAGTTGACTTAAATGTCAACATAATGACTTTTAAGTGTTAAAGTTAGCTAATATAAATGTAATGCAGAAAAATATTTTCATACCAATCATCTAATTTCTCATGGTATCAAAATGTATTCTATAAATATCATTACTTCTAGAGAGACTTTTTCCATCTTTATTTCACTTTTACAGTATTTATTACTGTATATATGACTGAAATAATTTATAATTAATAGTGCAACTCTTTTACAGTACTACTTTTGCATTTCACTGTGTGCAGGTTTTTGTTGGGGATATGATTTAATTTCAAATCTATATGAATTTGTACTTATGTATAATAATAAGCCACATTAATCTAAGCCCAAATCTGCTATTATTGGTACTGCAAACAGGTTGAACTGGTGTAACATTGGCATTAAAAAGCTTATAGCACATGACTTTGGGCAAATATTAGGATCTAGATTTGGTTTTATGTATAACCAAACAGACCTCATCATCTGAAAAGCAACACACTATTAACATATAATAATCTTATCTGATTACCCTATATTTGATATGATTGCAGTATATGACAAAAGTTGTGGCTGACACAAAATGACTAGTTTCATTTATTTATTTATTTATTTTAGTTTGAATCACATAGTCATGACTTCATCCATAAACATGGCTTTCAGACTTAGGTCCTCTTAAGGCCATGTTTTTTCATAACCATAATTTGATTCCTTAAGTAGAACTATCAGATTTCATCAGTATATTCTGACTATGCCAAATGACTTTTGATAACTTTGTTGCTATACTGATTACATTACTTTAGCGACTTGGAAAATAATGCATATATAGTTCTTTTCCTCCCCAGCCCACCTTTGGAAGATATTAGGGAAAGGACTGTGCTATCACTGAACTCTTTGAAATATTTTAGATAATGATCCATAAAATTGAGTTCAGCAGCTAATACTAGATCAGTCATTGCCCTTTATTATGCCTAAGCAACTTCTATCTAGTACCTTCAGTCAAATTTGCTGATATTTAGTTGAAGGCAGAACTCAGATCATTATATGCTCTTCAGAAGCTAAAGGTTGCTGAAAGATGTTGAAAAAAATAGTAGCTCCTTCTTTATGTGCTCCGTAACTTTTAACAGTGACTTTTCTCAAAATCAGTTTGATGCATCATAACTTAACAAAACGAAGAAGAGCTAAAGGTCAACTGAGCTGCTTTTTGACTAACATTACAGGAATTGTGAAGCAGCAGATAGACAGCCATATCTCAGATCCAGATCAACAGAACAACGGCCTGTCCTAGAGCGGACCACCTCCCGCTCCAGATCCACTGAACGTCCTGATACAAACCTCATGAGGTCGATGCCTTCATTAATGACCGGAAGATCTGCCCCTCCTTCACCTGCCTTATCGAGGTGAAAGACAAATCAATCAGACTAACCTCCTTTTTGCCCCTCCAACACACCATTTTATTTTCCCAGTGGCTAATTGGTATCTCTTATCATCTTTGGCTGATCACCAGTAGTAATAGATACTAACCCCTTCAGTGTAAACACACTATTTATATTCAAAGGATATAATAGTGTGTAGCTGCCATTGTAATTTGTTTATTAACTGTTTGACTACATTTGTTTTGTGATTTCTCATTTATCAGGAGTCCTGGGTAATTTCCCATGTAAAGCATATCATAACCGTCATGTTCTTCTCCTACAGAATGAGAAATTGTTTGTGTCCATTAGACATCGCTTATGGAATAGTTCTCATAACAACATCAAATGAAGCTTTTTTAAACTGTTCTTATGCTGATATTAATTTTATGTATTAACTATTATCTTTTCTGACTACATTTTAAAATGTTCACTGGTTTATTCTAAGTTCCTGAATTATTTTACAAATGAAATCTATTTCATATGAGCCTGCATATCTGTTTAGATCAAAATAAGGAAAGTTAGAGTAGATTTGGAGCCAGGAAGAAAAATAAAACATACCCACATTTCTAAGCTACAGAATTCTCCTTCTGCTTTCATCTAGTTTGGATGTTAATTTTGTAGAAGTAATTCCATTAACTTTGCTGTACTAGTTTGTGTGCATGTGAGTGTGTATGTATGTATACATATCAACACACAACTATCTTAACATCTTTTGGTATTTAGATATTGGTCATTATTTTATTTTTTTCCTTTTAGATAGTGTTTTCTCTTTTTAATCAACAGCTAAAGCTCTTTAAATTAGTATTAATCAAGGTATCATATGTACCAAATTCATTAAAAAAAACTCACATTTATTTCATAGTGAGTATTCATGCTAGATGTTTGTTTGTTTTTTATCAATATATGTTGTAGGTCTCATCCTCGTACTGGCTCTGTCCAAACAAGCCCATCAAGTACTCCAGTGGCAGGACGCAGGGGACGACAGCTCCCACAGCTCCCGCCAAAGGGGACCTTGGAGAGAAGTAAGTTTTATTTCAAATTATGTCATTTAGGAAATGCCATTGGATTCTAAGGTGAATAAAGATTTTCTTTACCCTTTTACATTAATTTTAAATGTTCTTTGTCATCATTTATGTTTGTATTAGAATACAACTCATTATTTTTGGTAAAATATTTTCATTTACTATAGGCTATGTAAATTTTTCTATTTAGATCATTTTAAAGATTTTAAATGCATCAAAAATAGGAAAAAAACAAACATGGATAATATTCTTAAAGGATGAGTTGAATGGTATTCAAATGAATAAATTTGAATACTTGTTGTTAGTTAAAAGAAGTAACTAGTCAAATCAATTTTCATACAACTACAAAGGACGGTTAGCTGATGTACAACTATGGTGATCCTTCTCAAAACTGGAATATCAGAAAAAGGTAATGATTAACATAAGAATAAAAATGCATGTTGTACTGATATTTTAATGCTATCATAATATGGCATAAGAACCACTATTTATACACACATATACATGATACCCACACACTATAAATTGTTGATTAAAAGACATTTTTGGAGATAGAATATAATAATAAAACATCTTTGCTCATTTATTTATTAAATAATTTGTGAATCTTCAGTTGGTTCATGGATGTGACTTGCAAAACATATTGAAATGCCCATGTACATATTTTCCTTTTGAGAAGATGCATACTGTGCCTCTATATATTTCTGTTGTTTTTAACCCCTGTGCTTTGGTTCCCTTTTTTTGTTTTGTTTTTGTTTTATTTTCCCTAGACAATGGAGACAAGGAGATAGAACCTTATGAAGGTCTGTACATAAAGGAGGGTTTGTTTTGTGCTGAAAGCCTTTTTTTGGGGGGCTATGTAAGCAAAAATAAACCCAACTGCAATTGATGTTCCTTCATTGTATAGACTTTTATTAGTTTTATGCCATATAATCAAGTATTTTTAATTTGCATTAATACCAACAGGTTTTTCTCTAATAAATTTCACTTTTAATCAGAATTCCATGCTTAGAATAAGACTTTAACTAAAGATATCAATTGCAGTCTGTGTTTATGTCATTGAGGGTCTATATTTACTTCAAATGTATCTGTCATCAATATTTCATCTAGTATTTATTATTTCAGTTATCAAATTTGGATTTAAAAGTAAAATAAAAAAACTTTTTACCTTAGTGTATATTTTCTGCATCATTTTCCTGATGCACATAGAATGTTTAGCAATATAAAAAAGTTAAATTTTATGTGGATATTTTATCAATATTTTATTATAATATGAAGAAAGATGAACTTGTTAGAAATGAGTCAAATTTATTTAACATAAATAGTATCATCTTGATTTCATACAATTCTTGGAAGATAGGAAACTCTCTAGTTATAGAGCAGCTGAAGATACTTTTAGTTAAGAACACTTATTGAAAGGAGAAAAGCTGTGTTACAGATAATTAGAAAGTGCTGTTAAAAGGAATAATTTTACTGAGGGAATATTTTTAGGATTTTCAATTTTATCTTGATAATTTATGAAGAACAAGTATAATAAAATATGAGTATGTTGTCTTTAAATAACCATTTTGTGGACTAGTTTGTGATTTTGTTGTGGTTAACTGATTTTTTTGTGGTTACCTGTAAGTAGATACTATGGATATGAATGTCAGTGCTTTTATGACTAGTGGTCTGGTATGTTGCATATGGACATTATTTTTGAACAAGAATAAGTTGTGTAGAAATGAGAGGCAGTGTGGTATAGTGGGATAAGTGCTGTATTTGAAATCAGTGGACTTGGATTCAAATCCTGACTTTGCTACCTACATGACCTTGGGTAATTCAATTGTATTTTCTGTACCTCTGTTTCCTTATCTTTAAAATGAGAGTGATACACTAAATGCCTTCTTGGTCCCTTCTAGCTCTAAAATCTAAGATACTATGAGTCAACTTTTTACTGTGAACCTGAAAGTGCCAACTTAAAAGGCCTTTCTATTAGAAAGACTGCTTTTATAAATATATGTATATATGTATGCATACATATGTGTATATATACATGTATATATATATACATGTGTATGTGTATATATATGTATATATATGTATATGTATATATGTATGGAGAGAGAGAGAGAGAGACTGGTAGAAGGAAAGGGAGAGGGAGGAACCAATGAGTCTTAGTAGATTTACGAGCTAGCCTTGGAGTTAGAAAGATCTGTATTTGTCTACCTTCTGGTACATGCTAGATATATAACTATGGGCAAGTCATTTAACTTCTCAGTTTCCCAAGTTCTCTAAAAATTGTAGAAGAGTTGCTGATTTGTATTTGCAGAGGGTTTTCTCACCAAGACTTCCCTATGCTAATGAAATCACAAGTCCAGAATGTAGGTAATATTTGTGTATACACACACATACACACAGTATAGTAGTATTTTTTTCTCTCTGAAAAGTACTCTGTTGAATAGTTCCCAAATAAGCTTTTCAAATTATCTCTAAAAGGCCTTGGAAAATTCCGTTTCTAATACTAATTCACACTATATGTAGTCACTACTGAAATATAAGGGGTAACAACACTTTGAAAATTGATCATATCTGTATATTTTTTAAATGAATCACCAAAATATTCAGGATGTGGAATTATATTGAAAAGTAGTGGTAGCTTGAGTTTCTAATGAGATTTTCAGGACTTTCTTTTTGCAATTAGTTTTTATAAAATAAACTTTTAGTATGTAGTGTCAAAAATTATGAGTAATAAAGAAATGTATTTGGTAAAGGGAGCAGCTAGATGGTTCATAGAGTGCGAGGCCAGAAGTTAGGAAAACTCATATTCCTGAGTTCAAATCTGGCCTCAGACACTTTCTAACTGTTTAACCCTGGGTAAGTCACTTAAACCTCTGTTTGCCTCAGTTTCCTCATTTGTGAAGTGGTGATAATAGCATCTACCTCCCAGGATTGTTGTGAAGATTAAATGAGATAATTGAAAAAACACTTAGTCGAGTATCTGGCACACAGTGATATGTAAATGTTAGTGATTATTTATCATCATCATTATTATATAGAAAGCCATCTTTTGCCTTCTGTTGCACTTATATACATATATATACATACACGCACACATACACATACATATTATATGTGTGTGTGCGCATATATGTATATATGCACACATACACACAGGGATTTGCTTTGAATTCTCATATTTAGTTGTTTTCATTTGGGATTTCCCCTTATTGTTATTTTATGCAGCTATCAAATGGAATTTAAAATATAACGAAATCTCCTTGAAGATCACTTACATTTAAAAATATTCTGCCTAAAAGAATGAATTTTATTGTCTATGTACTGGTGATATTTCTTATAGAAATAATTAATTTTGAATTTAATGGAACTCTATTCTAATATGAGCATGCAATTGCCAGTGAAACAATTTGTATTTCATAGGGGTGTTCCTAATATATTTCATACTTATAACACTTTAATTTACAAATAAAAATATTTTATAATAGGAAAAACATCTTTAATAGAAAACTTCACTTTGAGGTAAATTTTATTCATATGGATCCCTGTACCCCCTAGATGAAGTTTTCTGAGTCATTTACCCTGGCATGCCCATCTGAATGGCATCATTTTTCTGAGTTTCTTTAAACACTTAGAGTTGTAGTGTATTGCTGTAATATTAGAAAGTGCTGGTGCTTGTGTAGACAACTAGAAACAGTCATCATTTCCAGAAGGGGAGAAGGGAATAAAAAAGAAAATTCTTTCATCAGTGTGCTTTTCTATCTCCATTTATGGCAATAGACTAATGAGGTAGGAGAAAGCCCTGAATACAGATGAGTTTTTACTATGCTCTCTATTCTCAGTGGAAGAAAAGAGAACTTCTCTTCTGGCCATGGAAAAAGTATGTTTCTTTTTGAAGTAGTTGCCACAATCTCATCCCTGGTTTACATATACATATCATTTTTCTGCCTTTAAGTTAAATATTAGAATATGAAATAGTTTGTGCTAGTTCAGAATAAACAATAATATAGACCTGAAATTAAAAAAGGTAATTGTGAACCTCTGTTCAATGATATCCAATATTTATGTATCACCTCAAGATATTCAGAGTGTTTTATAGATATTATCTCATATATTAAATAATAAAATAATGAATTATATATATTTAAATAAATTAAGTATTAGCTCATATATTCCTATACAATTCTGTGAAGTAAATAATACAGATTTTATTATCCTCTTTTTACACATGAGAAAGCCATGGCCCAGAGAAGGTAAGGAATTTGCCCATAGTCAAACAACAGTAAGTGTCAAAGGTGAGATAAGAACCCAGGTTTTCGAACTCTGCATCCTGAAGTCTTTTTTTAGTACACCATACTCCTTGCTAATGAAGGTTCTTTTCTTGGTCACTAGCTTCTTAAATTTCAATTTATATATTGTGCTTTATATTTTGAAATTTTGAAAGACCTGTGCACAGTATGTTGCAAACTTTTTCATTTAGTTTTTTGTTGAATTCATTTCAATTTCTTCAGCATCAGTACTCCCTTCATTGACATATCATGTTCTCTCCATTCCCATCCCATATGTGTTCATAACTCTCAGAGGATCTATCCAAATCATTTAGGCTACCTTTTGTTTTTTAGTATTCTCAATCTACATATATAATTCAATTCAACTCAAATGGAGCAACATTTTAAAACACTCACTATGTGCAGACACAAAATAAAATAATCCCCGCCCTCAAAGAGTTTACAACCCATGGTGGAGATACAGAGTGTATAGATAAGTAAATGACAGTATATAAATTTGTATAAAGTAATTTTAGGAGGGAAAGAATATTAACAACCAAGATCATAAATGGCCTTGTGCAGAAGTTGACAACTCTTAAAATACATTTTCAATTAACAAGTTATGTTATTAACATCCTCATAGTAATAAAATAGTGCTCTTGAGTTACAATTTAGTGGGAAATTAATTTAGCTAATTTGCCTCTAAAAGTAGTTTTACTCTAAACATGTAGTTTACCATTAGAAAGTAACACTATATAATTTAAGGTCAAATAAATTAAGATTCAATACCTTGTACACAAGGGAGGCCTCCAACTAAAAATGAATGAGTCACTCAGTAAATAAATATTTATGAAGTGCCTATTACGTAGCAGATTCTGTGCTGTGTTAAGCACTGGGGATACAAAGAAAGATAAAAGACAGTCCCTATTCACAAGGAGCTCACAGTTTAAGGGGGAAAACAACATTCAAACAACTATATCCAAAGAAGATATGTATTGGATGAATTGGAAATATTTAATAAGAAAGGCACTATAGGTAAGGAGGATTAGTTAAGACTTCCTATAGAAGGAATAATTTTATTTGGGACTTGGAGGAAGTCAAGGAAGCCAGGAGGCATAGATAGAAGGGGAGAGCATTCCAGGCATATGGGACAGCCAATGAAGATGATCATATTTGGGGAGATGAAGTGTCTTGTTCGAGGAACAGCAAGGAGGCCACTGTCACTGGATCTCACAGAGTATGGAAATTGAGAGTGTGTAAGGTGTAAGACTGGTAAGGTGAGAGGGACAGGATATGAAGAGCTCTGATGACAAATAAAGGATTTTATATTTGATCCTGGAGGTGATAGGGAACCACTGAAGTTTATTAAAGGATTTTGGGGAGGGGGAGAGTGGTGTGGTCAAATGTACTTTAGGAAGATCATGCTTAACAGTTGAATGAAGATCGACTGAAATGGGAAAAGATTTGTGGCTGTCAGACCAACCAACTGGCTCTTGCAATAGTCCATGTGTGAGGTGATAACAGTCTGCACCAGGGTA